AAAACCTTTAAAAAATCGGCTAAGACAAGTCGTTCCTCCTTGACTCTCTTTAATACATAAGTTAGTTATGAAATATAAATTTTACTTTCTCTATTTTAAAATGATTATTTTGTTCATTATATTAAAATAATATAAAAACTAGACAATCATTTGAAATAGAAAAAGTGCATGTCACATTTTTCACTCTTTCTTAGTAATTATTATTATTATTAATTTTCTGATGGCTAAATTATAAAGATAAATGTATGCACTGTTTAAGTATAATAAGAAGAATTGTAACCCAAAATTTTTTAAAAAATTGATTGATAAACTGTAATAAAATTATCCAATAATTCAATAATCTGTTTTGTGTTTCATTCTTTCTTTAATACATTACTCTTTCTTTAATACATTTCCTTATTTAATTTCAAAACTCTGTGTGCCAATTAAAATGCATAATTTTTCCTGGATTGATTCAAACTAGTATTATACCTGCACGTTGTGCGGATTTTACTATATTTTAGAATAACATTAATATACCATTATTTTCCTATGAAAAGTGTCATATGTTTTGGTTTTTCTGTTTTTTTGGTATATTAGGCATTCAGAGTCCAAATTCAAGAGTATCATATGGTTTTTTTTTTTTTTTCCTTTGTTGGTATATAGTGCATCCGGTGTTCGATATCATTGTTTCAACTAATCCGTCTTCGAATCGGGTAAGACACTTTTGGAAGACAAACATCTCCCAACAATCATTACTACATGTCATGCATAGATTTAATCATGAATTGTAATTAACTTGGTCCAATATTGTTACCATTTTGATCAGGTACTTCTTAGCCATATAGGGCATTTTAAAATACAAATTAATATGTTCAACTATCTAATATAATTCTTGTTTAGGAGTGTTACTATATCAAAAAAAAATTCTACATATGAATTAATATGATCAATTGTCTATTACCCTATTTTTTTAGGGATACAAGTATATAAAAGTTATTTTCAACAATAGAAATTAAATCATGTATATTCTTAAAATATATTGACTGAAAAGCATATATTGCTTACTTGTAGTAATTGAATCAAATATTATAAATAATCTTTTTTTAGGCATAAAGAAATTTTTTTTTAAAAAAAAGAAAATTCCAAAAAAAAAGTAAATAAAGCACAAAAATAAGAGGGGAAATCTATAACAAAAAAAAAAAAAATTTTTGAAATACTTATCCATACTCCAAACTTTTTCCATAGTTTTTTTTAATAGCAAAACAAGCTGTACATGGCGGGTGTAGGACTCATTTTATTTATCTAGACTCATAATTTTTTTCTTAATTGTGAGTGCTTTTCGAGGTATTTATTCTTTTGCCATCATGGTGCCACACACTTCTCCTGTAAAACCAAAACACATTGATAATCATGCACTTAAAGTAAATATATTTAACTATTAATATCTCAAATAAAGTATATATTTACTTTCAAACTCTAGAACATTTGCAATTTCGTTTTAGTCTATCTAGCTCCTTTAGACCGGGATTGATGCGTAAATATTTTTTAGCTAAACCCATTGAAATTCTATAATAGCAACGGTGCAAAACATACCAAAATGAGACCCTCGTGGTTGTTTAGAAATAAAACCATCAATACTCATAAATATTTGTCAATGACATAAAACAGAAATAATCATTAACATGGAAAATATAATGCATGTTCTAAAAATAAAGCCTCCCCCATAGAAAAGAAAAGGTATGTCAGTAGTACCAAAATTTTCCTTATAATGTCGAAGTTTAAAATGCAAGATAAAATGATTAGTTAACAGTTCAAAACAAAGGGAAAAAATCATATAGATTTTTTTTGAATTGATGAACCTTTTAAAATTAACGACCACATTTTTCATTATTAATCATAAATCCAATGGAAGGTTGTTCACAAGTATTCACACTGGAATAAGCTAACGAACCTTCTTCAACACAAGCAAAATTAAGAAATCAAGTGAAATTCTAACAATCACTCTAAACACTGAGTTAATAATATTAAAGTACAACTTACCATGTCAATTGAAATCCATCATACTCCCTTTTTGACCAACAAATAAAAAATATCCATCTAAAATTATAACTCAACAAAGAGAGATACCAATGTATATCTTTTAGATAAAAAAAGGAGATTCAAATTGAAGGGGAGGAGGGAGGAGGAAGAGATAGAGGACGAGGAAGGGAAGAAGATGGAGAATCAGAACGTAACCTCTTTAGTTTTTTTTAGTGACTAATCTTTTTATTTTTGAAAAATATATCAAATGGAATTATGTGAAAAATAATATTAACCTACGTTTAATGTATTCAGGTCTGGTTGTAAATTGTATTATAAGAAAAATTATTTGGTACTTATCTCTTTTTATTTTTGGTAACCCAAATCTTTTTGTTTTTTAAAAATACATTAAATAGAATCATCTTATTAAATAATACTAACCAACATTTAATGTGTCCGGACCTAGTTTCGAGTTGTATTCGTAACATAATATTTTGATAACTAATGTTTTTTATATAATTTTTGAAAAATATAAAAATGAAATCATCTGAGAAATAATATTAACTTACGTTTAATGTATCTAGATTTGGTTTCGAATTGTATTCATAATATAATATTTTATAACTAATCTCCTTTTACTTTTGAAAAATATCTCAAATGGAATCATGAAAAATAATATTAATCCAAGTTTAATAGATATATATTTAGTCCCAATTTTGTACGTACGTAGTATAATCATTTGCTAGCTAATCTCTTTTTAGTTTTTGTAATTAAACTCGTTTTATTTTTGGAAAATATATCAAATGAAATTATTTAAAAATAATATTAGCATACATATGATGTATCTAAACTTGATTTCAAATTTTATTCGTAATATAATGATTTGTCAACTAATCTTTATATCTTTGATAACTATTTTTTCAAAAAAAAAATAAAATCAAATAAAATCATTTAAAATAATAATAATATACATTTAGTGTATCTAGACTTAATTTTGAATTGTATTCGTAATATAATGATTCGGTAACTAATCTCTTTATTTTTGTAATTAATATCTTTTTATTTTTGGAAACAGCAAATAAAATGTTTTGAAAAATAATATTAATCTACATTTAATGAATCCATACAAAGTTTTCAAATTGTATTCATAATATAATTATTTGTAACTAATCTCCTTTTATTTTTTGAAATTAATCTCTTTTTATTGAAAAATATATTAAATGGAATCATCTGTAAAATAATATTAACCTATCTTGGATGTATACAGACTTGGTTTCGAATTGTATTTGTACTATAATTATTAGTAACTAATCTCTTTTTATTTTTGAAAAATATATCAAATGGAATAATCTGAAAAATAATATGAACATACGTTTAATTTATCCAGACTTAGTTTTGTATTATATTTGCAATATAATTATTTGGTAACAAATATATTTTTTTTGTTATTGGTAACTAATCTATTTTTATTTTTTGAAAATATATCAAATATAATCATCAGAAAAATATTATCAACTTATGTTTAATGTATCCAGACTTAGTTTTGAATTGTACTCGTATAATTAATTGGTAAATAATCTCTTTATTTTGGTAAGTAGTCACTTTTTATTTATGAAAAATATACCAATCATCTAATAAATAATATTAACATACTTGTAATGTAGAGACTTGGTTTCGAATTGTATTCGTAATATAGTTATTTGGTAACAAATTTTTTTGGTAACTAATATCTTTTAATTTTTGAAAAATATATCAAACAGAATCATCTAAAAAATAATATTAACTTACGTTTAATGTATCCAGACTTAATTTCAAACTGTATTCTTAATACAATTATTAATTTGATGATTAATGTTTTCTTATGTCATATATTTGTCAATAATTACCAAAGACGTGCTTATTTTTTCGAAATTAACTATTGTTTAATTACTTAATTCAATTTAATAATTTTACATATTAGTAATAAAATTTTAACTGTTTAATAAAGGAGAATTTTAGTGACGACATGTGGCACAATTGGCTAAAGTTTCTCCCTGGACGACACGTGCCGATTAAGAACTCTACTTTAATATATAACTAGATGCTTGGCCCGAGCAGATGCCCGGACGCCCCTCTACTTTAATTTTGTGTTAATAGATAAATGAATTCTTGATTTGAAAAAAAATAAAATAGCTACACATTTGGTTTTTTTTTTTTCCCTTTTTAGCCAAAAATAAAAATAAAAATAAAAAAATCATCTGCCAAAGGAGAAAAAATATTGAAAAGTACAACGATGCAAAAATCATACAAAAGAATGTGGAGTAATAAAGGGGATAAGTTTATGGGCAAATTTAAATGCTATTTTGATTTGATTGATAAATGATAAATATTAGGAGTTAAAATTGTGTAGCTATTTTTGTAAAGTACCTTTTTGTTTCTCCGGATAAGAATTGTTTTTTTTGAAAAAAGGGATGACACGTGGCAGAATAGTTAATGCAATATGGTGCATTTGGAGCCAAAAATTTTTAATAAGAAGTTGTCACATTAACATCCTGTATTCTGCTTTAATAGGGTAAAAGTGGTATATAATAATAATAATAGATTATTTGAGACAGAAGTTTCAGACAACGAGCGTGTATTATACCAAAGAAATGTATAGTTTTATCAATTTTAAGTCCAACATGTAAATGTGACACCAATTTAAAGCTTTATAGCAAGAACATGTTAAATGAGATAGCAGTCCGATGTCCAACGTTTCAATTCTATATAAAGTGATATGGTGAACATGTTAAATGAGATAGCAGTCCGATGTCCAACGTTTCAATTCTATATAAAGTGATATGGTTTGCGAAAAAAAAATAAAAAAATAACAACAATCTGATTAATGCCCAATAAAGCCTTAGAAACTTATGGTGTTTAAATCAAAATTTAGGGAAGCCCAAGCCCATCTAGACTAAGTTTGGCATCCTTTTTGTCTACATTATCATCATCTATCCCCAAGAAATTACTCTGATATTTTCCTATTCATTCCAATCTATCATGCTATTTGGATTGCTTTCCACATTCACATTTTCAATGAAGCTTGACAGAGCTAGATTGAACTCTGAGAGCTGAGTATTTGTTGCTTCCAAATTGCTGGGATTGTTTATTCCCAGTTGCTTTGCTGTGCTTTTTCCAGTATGGACTGTGTATTTCCTTTGAATTTCAATTCTCATCCGTAATTTCTTCTGCACCTGTTATATGATCAGAGCCATTTCCAATCGGTACAATTTTAATGTAACATGTTTTATCTGTTATATGATCAGAGCCATTTTCAGCCGGTACAATTTTATTGTAACAAGTTTCATCGATATAAACACGACGAGATTCACTGTCTCACTTTTAACGAACCACCAATTATGTCTCATTAATGAAATGATGTTTACTCAGCTTTGTGTTTAGGGTAGTGAGTAAATCTGAAATTCAGTTTCACTAATATGACACTATTAGTAAATTTGGACAGAGGTATTAAGAATGGGTAACTTGGCAAGAAGCCTCATTTGGTCCCCGATAAACTCCTCCAGCTCAAAGCTTGCTTATTGGCAACACACCTAACCGTAAACTTTTAGCTTCCTTATAATGGATATAGTACAGAGAAATAATATTTATGGAATGAGAAATGGGAGTACTGTAAGTTCAAAATGAGATAACCAATCGTTGATCTATATACTCAATTAGCGTTCCATGGTGACCAGTTGGGGTTCCATAGTAATGCTAATACCCTCGCACCGAGTTATCTGCTGATTCACAACAATGTTGCGTAGTTCAATTTATCGAAGGGCACTGAATTGGCCAACGCCCAAAGGGATTTCCTCAAGGGACTTGCAGTTCCTCAGAACTAGAAGATCCAGGCATGGAAAGTGGTCTATATCATCATCACTTTCATTCTTCCATCTCCTTCGATTTGTGTCGTCAGTAATTTGTCGAGGTGAGGGAATATCTCCTCTGTTAGCATCCACTCTGGATGCTCCACTTTTAAACTTTAAGGTCTTAAGAAGGGGTAACTTGGCAAGAAGTCTCATTTATTTCCATAATAAACAACTCCAGCTCAAGGTTAGCTTGTTGAGACTAAGTGGCAACACATCTAACCATATACTTCCAGCTCCCTTGTTTCCCCTGTAAAACGAAAGCTTCAGTACATCTAATACAATCATGTCATCATACCTCTTATCTTGGAAGCATTCAGATACTTTGCAATTTTCATGATCTTCTTTGGTTTCAGAAACTCGGAATCTCCGAGTTTTTTAAGATTGGGCGTACCACTGCAGGGTCAGAAGCTGCGAGGTTGATTTCTTTTACAGGGGACCCAGAATGATACTTGGTACCAAAACATTAACATGTGACAAACACGAGATTCTCGAAAATTCTAAAGACAGTTGGGGTTCCCTCACTCTCCCTAGGGATCCGAGTACCATATACAAGTAAGCTCTCAAGTTTCTGCAGCAGATGCAGTGATGACAAGCACATATTCCACATTTGAGTGCAAGATACCTTAAATTGACCTAGTATTACTACAGGAAAAGTATCGGAAAGCAAGAAATATATATGTCCAGCACTCTTAGCCATTGCAAACTGGAAATTTACAGGTGCACCATATCTGGTGCAAGCCAAGAGTGATACACCTTTCGATTTCTCCATCAAACTTATCTTGACCTCAAACTAGACTTGCACGAATAAGTTCTTTCAAAAAGGATGCTGGTGTGAAATATGCATCTAGGAAGTGTGATTTTAAGTGAATAGGCAAATATGGGACTATAGAAGGAAATCATTTTAAGATCGCAAAAGGTAATACGCAAATTCAAGCAGGAAAGCAAAGATATAATGCTGATAAGAAGACGAAGCAATAAAATAATGCAAATGCAGATCATTTTAAGGTCGCAGAAGGTAATAAGCAGATTCAATCAGCAAAGAAAAGAAATGGTCTTAATAAGAAGACGAAGCGATAAACAACTAATGAAAATACATAGTAAACTTTTATTGCAGATGCATTCACGATCAAATTACGTATGACCTAAACTAATGCAAATACATGAAAACTGTCTCTAAATCACTATAACTAACGCATAAAACAATAAAATTACAAAATTTAGCAAGTACCTCCCATTTAGGAGTGCAGGATATTTGCTGAGCAGCTCTGCATTTGGGATGAAATTCTCATGTCTTCACACCACCCCGTCTTCTTGGCAGTCGGCATAAGTATCCAGAATGATAGAGTTATCCAGACCTCGGGGCGTACACAATTGAGAGATACCTTGTCGCTGAATAGTTGACTACCAGAACTGGACGACTCAATATCAGTAAATCGTTCAACACTTGAATCTTCAAGATTATAAATTCCCATGTCCTTGCAACCCTTTAAGCTACCAAAACGCAAATAACTTTCGATGCAATCATTAATGAAATAGATGCAATTGGATTTAAGGACTCCTGGAAACATCGAAGCCGGAATAGACACGGCAACACTAAGGCCAACAAAAATGGCATCACCACCCAAATCGTTTATCTTCTCAAACTTGAAACTCTCCACATCAAGATCCAATCGAATGACTTTAAATTTTCTTTCCCGACCACTCCTGGGATCCCTAGGCTTAATAAGCTTCCGGGCAAGAAGTAGGAATTCGCCCATTGACGATTCCACTAAATATAACTCTCTTCGAGTTTGGTCACGAAATAGTTTTCTATCAAAACCAAGGAAAAATTGGGCAAGGGGAGGTTTATTAAATTCATCCCAAACCCAAACTCGGACTACCACATCGATAGCATACAACTTTCCCTGGTAGTAAATAACATCCAAGAATGTACAGTGTATTGGACCAAACCCGGTCCAAATCAAATCTCCAGGCCTCCAGAAACCTAAAATACCACCGTGAATCACCACTAAAACAAAACTCGATGTTTGAGACGGATTAGCCGACAGAACCCCTTTTCTAACATAGAACAACTGGGGATTGGGACCATAGTCACGATTGGGGAATTTCTTAAATTCTGGAAGACGGATTTGATCACGAATAAAAGGGTTCAACAAACAAAGATCCCCGGACATCCCTACGCTTAGAACCCACCCAAATCCAACCTCCGTACATAGTCTATCCCGTACATAGAAAAGAGATTGAAGTAAGAGATTGCCAGATTGTAACTTGAAAAGGGCTCCTCGAGCAAGAGAAGTTAACGCATGAAGAATCGAGAAAGGAGAAGCGGGCCATGAGGCTTGCCAGGGAGAAGGAGTTAATCATGGTCCAGGCCATGTACAGGGAGGTTGAGAGCAATCTGACAGAATATAGAGAGTCCCACGTTCCCAAATCAGATCTACAGGAATGGATGATCGCTTTTTGAGCAAAAATGATACCAACTGGTGGATTGGCCAGCATCCTGGTGGGCATCAGTAACGATGCCAAAGCGTTGGGTGGACATGGTCTAGCTGTGGCCGCTCTTCAGAGGATGGAGAGCGGAAGGACTATCAATGTGGCCATAAAGGCTTCAGCAATTCATAAAGCCGCATCCTAAGAATACTCTCCATGAGGCCATAAAGAATGGACTGCAGCAGCTCTCTAATGGTCAACTTCCACTGTTCGGGCAATTATGCAGTGTCGTTGCTCAGATGAGTTCATCAACAGAGATTGCATCTTTTGAAGGAGATGCCCTTACAGTGCTTCCTGTTGATGGTGGAGAAGAGGTACATGTGCTGGAGCTGGCCCCAAATTTCATCGGTGTTGAGGTGGAATGGGAAGAGGATTCCTCAGAGTAGGTCGAGGAGGACGGGAGGAATGACCAAGAGCCTGAAGAGGAAGGGACGTCGACTCACACCCCTGTCGAGGAGACAAACAAAAGTCAGCCAAGTCACCCTCCCGGCCAAAATGACATATGAACTCTCTTCTTGTAATAGGATTTTTGCTGCTAAGGTTGTAGACCTTAGCCTGTTGTAGTGATTCTTGAACAATTTTTGCCAACTATGAATTAGATCAGTGCCTCTTTCCTCTAACATTTGATATACTTCTGCACATTATGTCAGGATTCGTACTTCGTTCATCTAGTACGTATGTTGATTCTCGAGGAAGACGAGATCACGAGGCTTCCCATGTATACGATGATTTCCTCAATGTTGAGAAAATTTGGGGATGTTCACAACACTGACATAGTGAGAGCTCTTGAGAAAGAGCTTACAGATGCTGTCAAAGCACTTAACCTACGAGCGCACTCCCGCTTGGTGCAGCGCTTTAGCCAACAAGAGGAAGGATGGAAGCGTCGACTCCACCAATATGACTTGGACTTTCACGATTCCTTGTCTCTAGAAGCCAATATTAATGAGGAGATGGAGAAGCTGAAGAAAGAAAATGCTCGACTGAGGAAGCGCGAGAATATTGTTGTGTCCCCATGGTTCTTCGAAAAATTTGACACACTTGCTCTAGTCGAGGCTCAGATAAAGGTTCGTACAGAATGCTTTATCGCTGCAATTGACCTCCTAAAGAAGAGGACCAAAGAGGCCGAGTTCTACTCAAAGCAGGCTGCCATTCTACAGAACATACTGGCGGACCACGAGATTTCGTTACCCATTCTCGAGGATCTCGATCCAGATGATGAAGCAAAAGAAAGGACAACTGTCGAGGAGTATTTTCTTAGAATCAACGAACAAGATTGGGAGTTCCTAGATTTGAAAGATAAACTAAGTCAGTGCCTCCATAGGCTTAGGGTGATGGGATGTTCTGGCGTTATTAAGCCTTCCCAATTCAACCCTAAGGGGACAGATCTCAAGATTTAAGCATATATCAAGTGTATATTGATAAATTTTCCTGACCCCGCACTAAATGTGAGGGCATTGTATTTGCATTGAGCTGTACCAGCGTCAGTTATTTGTTTGTACTCTAGTATGTTTTCACGGCAAGTGCGAGGAGAGATCCTCGGCTTGTGCGAGGAGAGTGTTCGGATGTTGAATACACGGCTTAATTTGAGAATGGCCCTAAAGAGGGTGTCCATCTCGGTGACTAGTCATAACATAGTGTCGACACATGCAATGTATAGAAGAAATATGCAATGGTTTTTATTAATAATTACCCGAGGACCCGGGCTAGCATTACATACAAATAAATGAAAGCGACAAATCACTCAGCAAATAAAGTAGCAAATAGCATGTTGAAAATCTAAACATAGAACCTGCGTAGATTCTGAATGTTCCACCATCGGGGGAGAATGGATCCCGTGTCATCTGTCGTCTGTAATCGGTAACTGCCCGATGGAGAGACCTAAATGACTTGATAGGACCCTTCCCAGTTGGCCGCCAATTTTCCAAGGATTTCTGCTCGAATGGCTTCATTTTTTCTAAGTACCAAGTCCCAGATCACGAAGTCAGTGCTCTTGACTCGTTTATTATAATTTTTCCTGAGGATTTCTTTGTACTTGGCTTCCCATACTTTTACGGCATCTCGCCGTTTCTCAAGCAAGTCAAGGTTAGTCAGGATATCTTCATTGTTGGTGTCTTCGACAAAATTAATCGTTCGAGGACTTGCAAGGCCAATTTCGACTGGAAGGACAACATCTATTCTATAGACTAAACTGTATGGCGTTTCGTCTGTCGAGTAGTGAGCTGTGGTGTGATATGCCCATAAAACGTGAGAAAGTTCTTCGACCCATGCCCCTTTGGCGTTGTGCAGCCTTGTCTTAATTCCATGTAGAATGGTTCTGTTGATTGACTCAGCTTGACCATTCGCTTGCGGATGGGCAACAATAGAGAATTGACGCTCGATCTGCATCTCCGCACACCATGACTTGGAGGGATCGCTCTCGAACTGGGTCCCATTGTTTGATACAATTGGGCACTCCAAAGCGGCAAACTACGTTAACCCAGAAAAAATTTAGTACTTTCCTTCCTGATATCGAGGCCAATGGTTTTGCTTCCACCCACTTGGTAAAATAATCGACGGCTACGATAACCCATCGCAACCCTCTCGCCCATTTTGGAAAAGGGCCGATGATGTCGGTGCCCCATTGGTAGAATGGCCAAGGACTTTGTATGGTTACCATCTCATGCTGTGGCTGTCGGGTTATCAGTGAAAACCTCTGACATCTGTCACACTTTTGCACGAACTGATAAGCATCCTTAAAAACTGTGGGCCAAAAGTATCCTGCTCGAAGGACCTTTTTGGCCAAGCTTCTTGCTCCCATGTGGGCTCCACACGATCCTTCATAGACTTCCTCAAGAACATACGCTGCTTGCTTTGATCCAACACACCGTAACATCGGCAAAAAATACCCGTGCTTGTAGAGGATTCCATCTCTTAGAGTGTACTTAACTGCTTTCAGCTTCAACGCTCGAGCTTCCGACTTGCTATCGCGGAACGTTCCATTTTCGAGGAATCGGATGAATGGCATCATCCACGTATCTTTATCCTTTGTGATAGCCAAGGAAATTCTGGGTTGAATGCTGGGTTCGGGGAGTATCTCAACCCAAACCTTGTGACTGAGATTAGCGAAATTGGACGAAGCAAGCTTACTCAGCGCGTCGGCTCTTTTGTTGCTAGTTCTGAGAATGTGGGAAATAAAGCATTCCTCAAATTTGTCTTTGATCTCAAGAACCTTCTCGAGATACGGTCGGAGGTGTTCTTCGCGGACCGTGTAATCACCTTTGATTTGCTTGACGACCACCTGAGAGTCGCTAAAGACTTCCAAGTTTCGAACTCCTAACTTGAGGGCCATATTCAATCCTGTGATCATTGCTTTGTATTCAGCGACATTATTGGTAACTGGGAAACCAAACCGCAAGGAGTAAGAGTATTTAGCATCGTATTCCTTGATTTCTTGAGACACCGTTGGTTTTGCTAGGATGATACCCGCTCCTCCCCCGTCTTCACAAGAAGAGCCATCGACGTAGAGAGTCCAGGCTCGGGGATTTATGGAGGGATGTTCCTGTATCTGTTTCCTCAGTGTTGACTCTTGCGTAGTATCTGGAGTTCTGGGCATTTCAACCAAGAAATCTGCGAAAGCCTATCCCTTGATAGCCGTGCGGGGCTTGTACTCGATATGGTGTTCCCCCAGCTCGACTGCCCATTTCATCATTCTGCCTGAGGCCTCCGGCTTGAGGAGGACTTGCTGGATAGGTTGTTCGGTTAAGACCTGTATAGGGTGAGCCTGGAAGTAGGTACGCAGTCGTCGAGCAGTGAGCACAAGGCTTAATATCAGCTTTTCCATGGGGGTGTATCGAGATTCCGCCCCTTGCAGGACTTTGCTTACGAAGTAAACGGGGAGCTCTTTACCGTCTTTTTTCTGAATGAGGACCGCAGATATAGCCGTTTCTCGAGTGGCTAAATAGATATATAGAACTTCTCCTGGCTGTAATTTTGCCAACATGGGGAGTTGCTTTAACTCTTGAAAGGCTTTTTGACATTCCTCAGTCCATTGGAAACCTCTCCCTTTTCTTAAGGTCTTGAAGAAGGGAAGGCTTCTTTCAGCTACTCGAGACATAAACTTATTCAGCGCTGCCAGAGATCCTGTAAGTTTTTGTACTTCCTTGACGGTCTTCGGGGCCTCTATTGAAAGAATTTCCTCGACCTTTGCAGGATCTACGCTTATTCCGTCTTTTGATACCTAGAATCCGAGGAATTTCCCAGAGCCTACACAAAAGGCACACTTCTTCGGGTTGAGTTTCATGTTAATTCCTCGGAGAATTGTAAAAATATCTTTCATGTCCTCGACCATCCTATTGTCCAAGTTGCTCTTGATGACCATGTCATCTACATAGATCTCAATGCTCCTTCCGATTTGATTGTGGAAAGCTCTATTAACCAAACGCTGGTAGGTGGCTCCAGCGTTTTTCAATCCAAACGGCATTTTGTCGTAACAGTATATCTCAATCTCCGTGATGTAAGCCGTTTTTTCTGCGTCTTCCCGAGCCATATAAATCTGATGGTATCCTTTGTATGCGTCGAGAAAGCTAAGGGTATTGTAACCGGTAATGCCTTCCACCATTTGATCGATGACAGGCAAAGGGTAGAAATCTTTGGGGCAATATTTATTTAGATCCGTGTAGTCTTGACACATGCGCCAGGAATTATC